AAAATTACTAATGGACGAATTTACAAACCTGATCGTGAAAATTCTTTATGCGAACCTGTCACAATCGATTTTTTTTTTTTTGCATTCCTAAAATTTCTGAATAACATTTCTTTCATACAAAGGAGAAAAAATGTATAAAATTTAAAAATAGTAGAATTTTTTTTTTTAAATAATTTAAAATATTTAGCGAACGAAAAAAAATTATCATTTCTAGTCACGTAAATTTTTTTTTTTGGAAAAAATTGATTGAAATTTTTTATTTTGCAAAAAAAATATTTCTCCCGAAGATTGCAGTTTTCAAATTTTTCTGAAATTACAAAAATATTTGTGAATAAAAAATTATTTATAAGTACATATTTTAGTAATTTTTCCAATTTTTATTATTTGCAATTTTTTTTTTCGTAATTTTTGTAACTTTCTATTTTTTTCTAATTGTTATTCTTTTTATCTTTTATTTGCAACTATTAAATAAAAAATAAATAATTTTCTTAATTTCACAAAATATATGAAAAAAAAAAAATTTTTTAATAAAAATAGAGAAAATTATGGAAAAGTATTTAAAACTAAAATATAAAAAATAATAATAGAAAATAATAATAAAATGAAAAAAATAAAAAAAACTACAAATTTTGAAAAGTTTACAAATTTTTACAAAAAAAAATTTGATTTTCCTCTGAAAGAGAAATATTTTTTTATTCTGTTTTCAAGTTGCAATTATTTCGAGACACGTGCAAAAAATGTTGCAATTAATTAACAAAATTATTAAAATTAAAATTACTTGTTCTTTTTTTCGACTTTTTTTTTACTTTTTTCTACTCTGCAATCCCGTTCAATGGCAACTATTTATAAAAAATAAAAATCTATATTTTATGAATTATGAAATTTTATAAACGAAGAAACGCGCAGTGTTTTTCTCAACCTTGTCTACACAACACAGAAACAATCAAATACCCATCATCATCATCATTAATATTATTTTTTTTCTCTCTCTCTCTCACTCTCTTAACTAGAAGATGAAAATTTGGCTCGAGTTTCGCTTTTACACCGACGTTAAAAATATATTATAATTAGTTTTTTCAGCACATCCCCTTGTCATCTAATATGGATTTATGTCTGAAAAAGGCACAATTCTAAAAAAAATATTCTTGTTATTTTCGCTGTACAATTAAAACTGATATCGATTCGTAGTAATTGCGGGTATACTCATAAATACAACGCTTTCATTTTTCTTCTTTCTAAAAAATTACTAACTTCCCTTTTTCATTGTTTTTTTTTTTTTTTTTTTCATTTTTCATCTTTTTCATTTCTTTCTAGTTTATTTTTTTTACTTTAAAATCGCAACTATTATTCAAATAAAGCTTTTCTTTTCCCTCTCCGTTTGCTTATCTTCTTTAAAAAAATTGTCTCTCTTTCACTCAAACAAACACACAAACATACATCTAAATGATGATAATTCATTTTTCTTTTTGGGAAAAATTCATTATTTAATTTTTTTTTTGTATTTTTATTTTCTCAAGAAAAATACTCGTCGTCCGCGCGAGGATCGGGATCGAACGAAAGGTTCTCGTAAAAATACAATATCGGTTTTTTTTTTTTTTTTTTTTTTTTTTTTTTTTTTATTAATTACTATTATTATTTTACTATTATTATTTTTTTTTCCTTGCAATATTGCAAAGAGTGAATATTTGCTCTCTTCGGCTTGGAATGTCTTTTAAAAAAAAAGTTGTTAGAGAATTAAAAAAAAAAAAAAAAATTGGTAGAAAGAATAATTTGATCGAAAAAAGTGAATCTAAAGAAAATTGTGTTTTTTTCTATCGACAAAAATTTTTTGAAACGAACTGAGAGAAGAAAAATGAAAGGAAGACAAATTACTTTTTTTAAAATCTATTTTCTAATTTTTCAATTGTGTCGAAAAAAAATTTTAGAATTTTTTTCATAATTATTAATATTTAGAAATAGAAAAAAATTCGAAAACTGATTCCGAAAAATAGAGAGAAAAATAAATTTTAAATATAGACTAAAAATAGATTCAAAAATATGAATGAAAATAAAATTTTCAAAAAATAGAATCAAAAATATTAATGAAAATAAATTTTCAAAAAATAGACTTAAAAATAGAATCAAAAATGTTAATGAAAATAAATTTTCCATTAATCGTCTAGAAAAATGTGCATTGAAAAGATTCAATGCAAAAGTAATTAAAAATAAACAAAATTTAATAAAAGTATAAAAAAAATAAATAAAATTAAAAAATAAATTAGAAAAAAATAAAAGGGATTTAAAAAAACTAATAGTAGGTAATAAAAAACAATAATAATAAAAATAGATTGTGACAAAATTTGAAATAAAAATTCTAAAAAATCTGTTAAAAAAAATAATCAGTTAAAACGTATTTTTTAATTCCATTTTTCTCTTTAAAGGACAAGGAAACAAATTAAAAAACGATAACAATTTAAAACTAATCATCATTATTATTATTTTCATTCTTCAAATTCTTATTATACAAAAGAAAGTGCTTTCGAAAATCGGTGCCTTCAAATTTTCATCGATTTTCAATTTGTTTCCTAAAAATTAGCAGTGATTTAGTTTTCCCATTTTTTTTTTCTCTCGATTTTAAAATTAAGTTTTCTTTTATTTTTTAGAAATGAAAATTTTTTTATTTTCTTAATTTTTATAATTTCCAACGTTAAATTATATTAAATGTTGAATTATTTTCAACGTTAAATTATTTTTAACGTCAAATTATTTTCAACGTTTAATTATATTTAACGTTGAATTGTTTTCAACTTTAAATTGAAAAAAAAAAACGAAAACTGTTTTAGATTTGAATTATTTTTAAATAATTTTTCCCTAAAATTTTCTAAAAATACTTAATTTAGAAAAAAAAATGTTCTTAAAAAAAAATTTACAAGAAGAAAAATTTCTGAATAAAAAATTTACAAGTAAGGAAAAAGCTTCCGTTACAAAAGTTTACGAAGCAGGAAAAAAATGATAGAAGAAAAATTATTACCGAAAAGTTTATACATAAAAACAAAAATTTATAGAGAGGAAAAATTTGGAAAACAATAATTAACCTACAACAAAAATGAATAAAATAAAAATTTATAAAAATAGTAAACAATTTAAAAATAAACATTTATTAAATGTAAAAAAAAAAAAAAAAAAAAAAAAAATTGATAATGAAAACAATTTATTTTTCTCGATGCGGAAAAATCTCAAAAAGTTCCATTTCTTTTGCCGATAGAGAAAAAAATAAATTTGACAAAAATGCAAAAATATTTGTCGATAGAGAAAACAAATTTTTTTTTTTATTGACAAAAAATGTAAAAATATTTTTAATACTTTCGTTTTGCGATCGTTCTCGTACGGAATTCGGAATTTAAATTTAGTTTTTCTCTGCTTTAGCAAAAAATGGAAGTGGTTTTTTTCCTCTTTCTCTCTCTCTCTCTTTCTCTCTCTAGCTCTCTTTCACTCTTTTCTCTATTAATAAAATTCCTTATCGTTTATTTTATTTATTAATTAATTATTTATTTGTATAATCCATTGGGAAGAAATTTTTCTTTGTATCATTTATTTCATTTTTTGTTTCTTTTCTGAGCAGTGTTTCATGTTTTTTTTTAAAATTTTTTTTATTTATTTATTTTTTTTTGTTTCCTAGTTTACAAATTTTTCTTTATTTTAAAATAATTATTTCACACTCACATTCATTTCAAGCATTCGGAAAAAAAAATTCGTTCTCAGTTAATTTTTTTTTCTTTTGCATTTTTCTCTTTCTCTCTCATTCTTTCTTATTTTATTTAGTTTTTTTTTCTTATTTCTTATTTTAAAATTAATACCTAAATGTTACTTCTTGGAAGCCTAGTAGCTTTGACGCTAAGCTGCCCGTTGCCTATTTTTTATTTCTCTCTCTCTCTCTATTTTTTTTCTTTCACTCTTTTTTTTTCTTTCACTCTTTCTTTTTCTTTCGCTCTTTTTTCTTCTTTTGCTCTTTTTTCTTCTTTCACTCTCTTTATTTTTCTTTCTCTCTCTTTTTCACTCTTTCTTTATCTTTCACTCTCTCTCTCTTTCTTTTTCATTTTTTCTTCTTCTTTCGCTCTTTTTATTTTTCACTCTATTTTTCTTTCGCTCTTTTATTTATTCTTTCGCTCTTTTTCTCTTTCACTCGTTATCTCTCTCATACACAAAGACAATTTTTTTGTTCTCGAACAATTTACTGTTATTTTTCTTAATTTAAAATTAAAAAAAAAAAAAAAAAAAAAAAAATACGCCGACATTTTTTTAAACAGCGGAATTTTCCCTATTTTAACCGTCAAGAGTCAAAAAGATAAAAAATCACTCGTTTTTCAATTTTTTCCCATTGTAATTTTTCTTAAAAACTTTTTTTTTTCTCACACGCATTCTTTCTCGCCTCTCTTAAAGAGAGTTTCGCTCTCGCTCTCTTTAAATAAAAGAGAGTTTTTAAAATTACGCTCTCACTCTTTAAATTAAAGAGAGTTTAAAAATTCCTCTCTCTCTCTCTCTCGCACACATTTTCCTTCGCTTCTACAATTTTTCCCCCCCTTAAATTCTTTTATTCACTCGCGTCCGCGTTTTTTTTTTATTTTGTTTCTCAATCATCATTCGTTTCCACTACTCGTTGCAAAATATTAACTACTTTTTTTTTTTTACCTATTTATCTTGATGGATAAAACGTATAAAAGATGGCTGGCAAGTCAATTTTTTTAATTATTTTTTTTTTTTTTAATAATGAGGAAGAGTTCATTTGTTTTGTTTTCATTCTTTCTTTTCTATCCTTTCTCTCTTTCTTTCTTTCATTTTCTTTTAAAATTATTATCATTATTATTATTATTATTTTCTTTCATTATCTTTTCATTTTTTTCTTTTTTTTAAATTTATTTCTTCTTTAAATCTTGACTTTTTTTTCCTTTAGTTTTTTTTCTTTCATTTTAACGACTATTTAGTTTCGGTCTCTAATCTTCGCTTTTTTCTTTCATTTTTTCTTCAATTTTTTTTTGTTGTTTGCTTGTTTTGTTTTTTTCTTCTCAATTTTCATTTTTCACACATTCTTCAACATATCAACGGGGTGAGTACCTCTTCTAACTTATGTAACCCTCGGTATAGTCGAACCTGAAAAATTAAGAAAAATTAAGAATAAACCAAAAAAGGAAAAAAAGAAAAAAAAATTATTAATCAAAGATAAATAAGAGAAAAATTTAATACTATTGACGAAATATAGTTTTATTTTTAAAAATATTTTATCTCCATTCTTCTCCTCGTCAAAATTTACAAAAAATAGCGTTTCTTTACATCAAAAAAACTGTCGCAATATCGAGATATTTCGATAAATCGACAAATATCGAGATATTTTGATAAATCAATTAATATCGAAATATTTTGATAAATCGATTAATATTGAAATATTTCGTTAAATCGAATAATATCGAGATATTTCGATAGATTAAATAATATCGAGATATTTTGGTAAATCGATCCAACATCGAGATATTTTGGTAAATCGAATAATATCGAGATATTTAAATAAATTGATATATCTTCCTCGATATAGTACAATAAATTAAATAGTATCGTATTATATCGAGATATATCAATAAATCAAAAAATATCGAGATACATTGAGTAATATCGAGATATATCGATATATTGAAAAATATCGAGATACATTAAATAGTATCGATAGATTGAAAAAAATATCGAGATATATTGAATAATATCGAGATATATCGATAAATTGAGATAAATTGAAAAGTATCGACAAAAAAATCGACATTTATTGATAAAATTGGGAAAATTGAAATAGTAAAAATGATTTAATCTTTTAAATAAATTTTTATTTAAAACTGATTATTTATTTAAATTTGAATTTAAATAAAATTGTTTTTGTAATTTGGTATATTATTGAGACGAGAGAACATAGGTGATAAAATTGAAAACAAAAAAAAATGTGAAATTGAGAAAAAGCAGTGATATAAAGCGGTGTAAATAGCTGAATTTTTTTTTTTGGTTGCGAATTAAAAAGATAAAAAGAAAAAAAAATTTTTGTATAGAATTTGTTTAGCGTTATTTGGTTTCGAGGGGTAGAGGGGATTTGAAAAAAATGATACTTCGTCTAACCTATAAAGTGTGGCCTACTTGGGCTGCTGAGCCTGGTACTGTTGATAAGAATCATCGGGTGATGCTGCATTGCTCGTCTGCTCGGAATCACCCAATGGCATGGTGTGAATGATGCTTGGTGGTGGATAAGTCGTGTATGGATACGGGTGCGGACTTGCTGCGATGTACTGCAAAAATTCAAAATTATTATTAGTAATATAAATTTTTTTTATTGTTATTTTTAAATTTATATTTTTATGCTATTAATTTTTATTATTAACCAAACAAAAAAAAAATTGCTTAAAAAATAAATATAAATGGTTATAGCGTTCGATATATCGATATAATCTACGATAAAACGATATAATCTACGATAAATCGATATAATATTCGATATATCGATATTATATTCCATATTGATGTAACATTCGATATATCGATATACTTTTTGATATATCGTTATAAACTTCGATTAATGAATATTGCAATTTTGGTTAGTGTTCGAGATATCGATATAAATTTTAATATTTATTTGCTTAAATATATCGAAACAAAGTTCGACTTATCGATTGAAATATCAAAATACTGATTGTAACTATCGAAATATCAAAATTCAATTCGTCTTATCGATTTTAATATCGAAATATTGATTATTATAACTTTCGAGATATCGATTCAAAGTTCGATTTATTGTTACAAACATTGAGATATCGATGTAAACTTCGATATATTGATCCATTTTTTTAAAAATTGGCGTAAAAGGACGAGAGATCGATAAAAATTTTTTTTAAAAAGTTATAATGGAAATAAAGTAAAAAATGTTTATTTAAAAAATTAGGAAAAATATAATTTAACGTACCGAACCGGTGCCAAGATGTAATGTGGACATTTGGGTTGTAATTTGAGGAATCATACTATATTGAGGGTTGCTAGGATCAGCTGATGGCATCATCTGTAATATTAAAAAACAAACATTTTTCTTTTTTTCCAAAAAAAAATTCATTAGTTTCTTGTTATTGAGAAGTAGGGTTTCTTTTTTTGCTTTATTATATTAATAATTCAATTAGTTATTCATTTTTAGAATAGATTATAATTATTATTTATATTATAAGAATATTTTATTATAAGCATAATTATAATTATAAATATATATATTATAAATATAATTATAAATACTATTTATAAATATAATTATAAATATAAATATAATATTGCGAATGATGAATAAAAATTACCAATTATTTTTTATTAATTAATTTTGAAAATAAAACACACACATGCAATTGCCTATAACTAATATTATCATTCGAAAAATAGGAAAAATCGTTTTAAATTAAATTTTAAATCACATGCGTTTCAAACTCACGAAAACATATAAAAAGAATAATAAGCAGCAAATTATAAATAATGAAACTAAAAATGAAAGAGAAAAATAATGTTACTTTTTTCATAATTTTTAACCGTTAAAAATTTATTTTTGTTTTCAAATAATTATTAATATCAATAAAAATCAGAAAATAATATAAATCCATTATATGGATGGATTTCAAAATCTATCAATTTTCAAGAGAAATAAAAATATTTTTTGACTTATTTTATTTGAATTCCTCCGAAAAAAGAAATTACTCTATAAAAGCAAATTCATGGAATATTTAAATAATTTTCTTGATGTTATTTTTAATACTTGAAAGAAAAGTTGAATTTTTATTATTTTAAAATTAGGTATTGTATTTTTTTTTCTTTTTTTTTTTGAAAATTTCTTGTGAGAAAGAGAAAAAAAAGCGAACACAAAAACTTTAGTTAAAAACTCACGTCGACCTGTTGCATGTGTGGAGGTCCAGTTTGCACGAGGTATGGAGTGACCCATGGCGCTCCTGGCACATTATAACCAGGTACTGCTTGTCCATAATGACTTCTGAATTGTGTTAATGCTGTCGCAGGTAACATGTGCGCCGTGGCAACTCCATTTTGTCCGACTCCAGACGTGTCGTAATTTAGAGCCATATTCTACACATTCAAATATCCAACAAAAATTTTAATTTTTCAAAAAAAAAAAAAAAAAAAATTTCAAAATAATCTAATCAGAATAATTTTTTTTTTTTTTTTGCTTGACAAAAATTTAAAAATTAATTACCAAATTACTCACATCACCCGTCTCCCTCCATATCGCACTTTTGTACAATGATTTTTTCTTATTGCCACCATCAGCAAATTTCACTAATAACGGATCCTTTCCCCCCTGCAATGCTTTGCCATTAAACATTTGAATAATTTGTTCACATTTCTCCTTTGATTCCATTCTGCAATAGAGAAGAAATTTTTTTTTTTATTTTATATACAAATTTATCGAAAAATGCTGAAAAAATTATTTTAAACAAATAAATAATATAAATATTTACAAAAAGTGGTTATATCAAATCTTTCGATATATTTCGACTTGAAAATCGCTATATCGATAGTAGAAGCGATATATCGAAAGTAAAATCGATATATCGAATACGTGGTCAATATATCGAGAGTAGAATCGAAATATTAAATTCAGAATCAATATATCGATAGTTGAAACAATATATCGTCATAAAAATCGATATATTAAAAGTAAAATCGATAAATCGAATGCGTGGTCGATATATCAAGAGTAAAAGTAAAATATTGAATACAGAATCGATATATCGAGAATAGAAGCAATATATCAATAGAAAAATCGATATATCGACAGGGAATTCGATATATCGATAGTAACATAAAAATATAAGAATAGTTACAGGTTTTTTTTTTTTTTTGAAAATAATAAAAACGGAATTGAAAATAAATTAATAAATACTAACCTCGCAAATCCTACACCTTTACTTTGTCCGGTTGTATCACGCAAAATTCTCGTGGAAATAACTTGGCCATATTGAGCGAGCAATCCTTCGACGTCATTCTCTTTGAAATTGAGTGGCAGATTGGCAATGTACAAATTGGTTGGGTCTTGCTCCTGTTGCTGAAGAATCAATGAAAAATCTATGCAACTCATTGAATTATATTGACAATTTTTTTTTATTATTATTATTTAATATTATTATTATTATAATAATAATGCAAAGATAACGCACATTTGTAGGATTTTTTTTATTTTAATATTTAATATAAAAATTTTGAAGACGATTTTTTTTTGTTCTACTAATTTTATAATAATGAATTTAGGATTTATTTACATATGTATTCATAATGGAAGACATTTTTCTTATATTAATGAAAAAATAAGGAAATTTTATATATTTAAAAAAATTAAAGTTTAGAAATTTTAAAGAAAATTTTTAATTTAAAATTAATTGTAATATTATATTATATTATAAATAAAAATAAATAAATTAATCAATATTATAAATTCTAATATAATATTTTAACATTATATAAGAATTGTTTTTAAGAAAGTTAAATGTACCCATACCTTGTCTTTGCATTATTAATAAAAAATGTTTTCAAAAATATTTTAAAAAATCAAAAAAGTAAAACAAAAAAAAAATAAATAACATTAATTTACGTTGATCGCTCTGATGCTTCGACTCAACTCAAAACAAAGAAAAATAATTAGAAAAAGCATTAAAACAATTTAAAAAAAAATTCTAAGCGCAAAAATCCTATATTTATTTTTTTTATATATATTATTATTCAAAAATATAATTACTTTTATTATTATATAATATATACATATATACGTATGTATAAAAATTTAAATCTCGAGAGAGTGAGAGAGAGAGGACAAAAAAACTTCAAAAAGGTATAATATATATATATATATTAATCTACAACAATAAAGCTACTAAAAAAAATATAACCAGAAAAGCTATTGTATATTGTATATAGAATATTAGAAAAAAAAAATTTCTGATCTATACAAATAATAATTTGCAATAAATATTAATATAAATGAAAGAAGTTGAAGAAAAAAATATTAATAATAATAATAATTATATACATATATATTTATTGCAAATTTAAAAAAAAAGAAAAATATATATATAGAGGAAAAAAGTCTTAATATAATATATATACATAATTATTCATATACATATTAATATATATATGTATATGGGGAGAAATATTTATATAAGAAAAAAAAAATTGACGCCGAATAGTCAGAGTTCATCGGCGTCGAAATATTTTTCTCATGCTTCATGGCATTACCACATTCTGGTGGCTCTCCAAAATTTGCTCTCTGCATCAAAAATTAATAAAATCAAGTGAAAAAAAATTCAAAAAAAAGTAATACTATCGATATTATTTCGATATAATCAATATTTTATCGATATATCGCAAAGATATCGATATGATCGATAAATATCGATATATCGCACAGATATAAAAAAACGCAAACATACGATATTTTTGATACATCAATTTATTCGATATAAGTCAAAAAATGGCTAAGATATCGATATATATTCGATATACTTCAATATATCGCAAACCTATCGATATATTCGATACACTTCGATTTAATGTACTTTGATATATTTCGATATTTTTTGATACATCGTTTTTTTCAATTTATTAATATTTTTCGCTTTATCGAAATTTTTCGATATTAAGGCGAATATTTCGATATTTTTCGATTTATGTTAATAAAAAGTCGATTAAATCGCCACTTTTCGATGTATTGATTGATATTAAATAATAAATATCGATTGTTTTCGTGTAATCTACATTTTTCGATATATCGATATTTCTCGACTAAAAAGAGTCGATTTTCTTTAACCCTCCCCAACCCCCTCTCCCTCTTCTCACTTAAGTAAATTTAGATTAAATTTTTTTTTTTAATAGAAAAGAAAAATGCAGAAAAATATAATTTTAATGAAAAAACAAAATGTGCGATAATTTTTAAGAAAAATTAAAAAAAAATTAGAATGTTTGTGTTTAACAAAAAAAAATTTTTGTTAACAATGGGGTAAAAAATAATTTTAAAATTGTAAATTGAATTTATTTTAAATATATATATATGGTAAAAAATTGTATTAAATGAAAATAATATTTTTTTTTTCCTTTCTTTTTTTGTGCCTCGAAGCATATTTTGAGATCCACCATTTCTCTCAAGACTCAAATCTACGATTACTTGAATATACTTATACTTTACGACAATTTACTTCAATCTTGCGAATGCATAAAAAAAAGAAGAATAAATAATGAAAATATCGTGGTATGTAAGCCAAAGCTCATGGCATATATTTATATATTGTATATAGAATTAATATATAATATATGTATATTTATAATATATATTTATATATTTCTAATATAATGGTACGTATCTAAAAAAAACAAACAATAATATTAATAATTTTTTTTCATTATAATACTTAACGAGAAAATTTGAAATTATTTATTTTTTTATTTGTAATTTTCTTTCTTTTTCTATATTTTTTTCAGTTGACAACATTCCAAAAGATTTTTATCGAGTAAAACAATTTTTTCTTTTTAATTGTAGTATTAAAATATTTATTTTTTTTTTATTTTCAGAAAATGACAATTTCTTTTTTATTTTTTAATTACTTTTTGAAAATTGAGATTAAAATTCAATTTTGCTTTCATTATTTGTTAAATTAAATTTTTTTTTAAATTTTAATTAATTTAATATCAAGAGAAAATTAAATTTCGATTTGAATTTGCCGCCAATTTTTATGTGGCGCTTTATTCTTACCACGGACCATGACTGTCTGCGCAGTAGTATTAGATAAATTATTTTGCTGTGCAGCAATATTTTTCTTTAAAAAAATAGTTTCCCCGAAAAGTTTAAGCTGCGCAGTAATATTTTAAATGAAAAAAATAGTTGCGCAGTAAAGTTTAAGCTGCGCAGTAATATTTTTATTTTTAAAAAATAGTTGCGCAGTAATGTTAAAAAATATATATATACAGTTGCGCAGTGAATTTTTGTTTATTGAAATTCTTCAAGAGATAATATAATTTTAATCTCATTTTCAATAAATATTTAAATTAAGAAACAAAGGGGAAATAAAATAAAAATTAATTAATTAATTAAAAAAAACATAATTTTAAGACAAAATCTTGTGATATGCTGCCGCTGAAATGAATTTGAATATATTTATAAAAAAAATGGGTTAAGTTTTATAAAGCCAAGTGTATATCAGAGCCAACCAACACCCCCCATAGGGTAAGATAGCGCCTGATTCGTAAAAAAATTGACCATTTAGCAGAAAAGTACAGCATTTCTGATTTTAATTATTAAAAAATAGATAAAAAAATTGTAAAAAGAATAATTTACAAACATAAGTTAATCACTCATCATTTTTAGTTATTATAAAGATTTAATATTAATGATTTGCTGCATAACACATGCGATTGAGATTTTCACATTCGCAAGTGGCTTCTCGTGCTATTTTTTTCATTTTATTTAATATTCTTACTATTATTTTTATGATTCTTTACTATAATTATTATTCTTACTAAAATTATTAATATTTTAGTATTATTCTTATTTTTACTATTATTATTATTATTATTATTATTATTATTATTATTATTATTATTATTATTATTTTTATTATTCTTATTATTCTTACTATTAATATTATTATTATTACTATTATTATTATTAATATTATTATTACTATTCTTATTCTTATTATTATTATTGTTATCAAATACTATTATTAATATTATAAATAATTATTAATTTACTATTTTGCCACACTGGTTAGATGAACCATTCCGAGTTAGTTTCTTTTTTCCGAAAGTTTGGTAATTTTATTAATTATCCCTATTATGTTAGCGGGCAATTGAAAAATTTTTTTTTTAATTCGAAATATTAAAGATAGCACCTCTTTTTTTTTTAATAAAGAATAGTAAGAGAAATTTTTGCAAAATTTGGGAGATAAATGGAAATTTTGAAAATTAATTTTAAAAAAGACATGAAAGATAAGAAACAGTTTTTGCTTGAACATTTGAAAAACAAATTTTTTTTCTTCCTTTAAATTATAATAAAATAAGAGCAAAAGCAATTTTAGAAATTTTATTTTAAATTTAATATTTATAATATTTGTGTCGTGAATTTTTTGTTTATAAAAAAAATTTTCAATACCTTTTGGAATTATTTTTGAACAGAAAAAAAAAGAAATTTGAAAAATGCTTGATAGCGCAGTTGGTAAGATTGCTTGTTTAGCATTCAGTGTCAGTGGGTTCGAATCCCCTCGGCGGTACTTTTTCCCGAACATTTTAAATCGCTTTTTAAATGATAAATTTTGTTCAACAGACTTCGAAATTTATGTTTTAAAAAAACATTTGGATTTAATGTAAATAAATTAGTTATTAAATTAAAAAATTAACTAATAAATAAAACAATAAATAAAATGATAAATGGATTTAATAACTAGATAAAATAATAAATAGAATAGGAAATTAGTAATAATACATAATAATAAATAAAGTGGTAAATAAATAAATTAGTTAAAAAACAATAAATAAAAATTTTAATAAATAATAAATAAAATGTTAAATAAATACAATAATAAATTGAGTAATAAATAAGTAGGTAGAATAATAAATGGAATAATAAATAAAAAATATATTTAATTAGTAAGTAGTTTAATTAAATATTAAATTGATAAATTATTTAATATTTTATAAATAAATAAAAGACGAAAGGTAATAAATGTTTTGTAACTTATTATAAATAGTAAGTGAAATAATTTTAATGGTCCTAAATAATAGATGATTAGCACTTAATTAATTTAGTTTAATTAATTAATTAATTAATTATTTAACCAAAAAGATTGTTATTAATGTAAATTATTATTCAAATAATTCAGAATTTATTGCTTTGAGAGAAAAATTATTCACATTTTGGGGAATTAATAAAAATAAATCTCAAAGTAATAGAAAAAAAAATTTCTACTCGGCAAGATTCGAACCCGACACTTGTAGCGTCGCAGTCAACGACCTTACGACAAGAGCTACTATCTAACTTCTTCGCTATTCAAAAACAAATTTCAAACAATTTCAATTTTTTCTACAAATATTTACTTCTAATCAATATTTTTGATTCCGAATTTCATTAAAATAAAATTTCTATTATGATTTATTATTATATTTTTATTATTATAAAAAAAAATTTCTATGATTTATTATCATTTTGAGATAATTTTGAATTTTCTTTTTTATTTTATGACAATTTAAAATTTTTGTTAAACTTTATGAGTTTATGTTTTAAGTTAATTTCTTTAAAAAGAAAACAATTTTTTTCTTTGAATTTTTGTAAAAAAAAGGAATATTTTGAACTAAAGGGGGCCTATTATTATTAGTGCTGAAACGAATGCAATAATTTCAGACATAATTTTTTTTTCTTTTTTTTAAAAAAAGATGTGTTGAACATAGCAGTATCAGCGATTTGTGGCCGAGATAATAGCAGCAAGCATTGACAGGTTTTATATAATTAATGGAAAAAAATATATAAATAAATAATGTACAGTATATAAAAAGACAGAGTAAGTAAAATAGAGAGACAGAGCATTTTTTTGTTGTAATGAATTCTCCAAGAATTATTTTTTTTACAGTTTCTTGTTTTTTTTCAATTTTTTTTTTTTTTTTACTGAATTCAAGGTTTTTTTTCGCCGTTAAAGCCACATATACAGAAAAAACACATCAAAATTCAAGTATAGAGTCACTAAATATAGTTTCAAGAGAAAAAAAAATAATAAAAAGAACAATAATAATTCACAAAAATACAAAATAAAAATACTAAATCGAAAAAATAATAACAAAATCAAAAAAAAACTAATAATAATAAAACTAAAAAATTAATTATTATTTAACCGACTCAAGTCACATTTTCAAATTGATGAAAAAATGAGAACAAAAAAAATTAAAACGAAATCAAAAAATTTTCTAAGGAGTAGGAATTTTTTCAAGCCAATCACAATTTTCCTTTTTTTGATTAAAATTTCTTTTTCTCTTTTCGAATTTTTTCTATAAATAGTTTTGAAAAATATATTTTTATAATTTTATTTCCTAAATTTTTGTTTTAATTTTCTAATTTTTTTTCTTTATTTTCTAATTTACTTTTCTTTTTCTTTTTTCGTAAATTATTATATTATTAGATCTTACGTGATTTAACTGCTCTCTTTGGAGAAGAATGGAATATTATTGATTAGCTTTGATGATTGGAGATTAATAAGGTGGGAGAGGGGGGAGAGGAAAAATTATAAGGGAGGAGAGAAAAAATGAGAGAAAGAAGAGAGAGACATAGAGTGAGAAGAAAGAAAGAGTAGATTTAAGGCAACATTTTTTTACTGGAAGGAAGAATAGTTAGAAAGAGAGAAAAAGGAGAAAGAGAGAGAGAAAAAAATAAAGAGAGGGAGTTAGAAAGAATAAGAGAGAAAGAGAGAAGCGAGGAAGGGTGAAAAAAGGTAGGGGGGTATAAATGGAGGGAATGGAAGAAAATGAAGAAGAATGAGAAAAAGAACGAGATAGTGAGAAAGAGAGAGGTTTACTGTTACTCTGGTATTACTGTACTTGCATGCACAACCAACGTACACTGGCCAGTCTACGGAGCAACCAGATACCCACTTTCGCCATCTGCGCTTGGATGCCCTTGGACACCAGTGCTTTCACAGCACCCTCTGCCGCCGACGGTGTCTCAAAGTCTACAAAGCCATAACCTGCAATTCAAAAAAAGGGGAAAAGAAAAATTAAATTTCACAAAATTTTGAACCCCCAAAAAATCTTGCAAATTTTACTTCATTTACCGAGAAATACATCACTAATACATAGTTACACTTTCCTACGCTCATCAATACAAAAAAATACAAAGAAATAAAAATCAAGGTTATTCTTTGAAAACAAGAAAAGACAATAATATTTTTATATTATACGAAGAAATAATTATAAAAATAATATATTTAATTATTTTATATTATAACCTCCCAACGGTTTAACCCGAGTATACCCAAGGTGTATCTTTCATTTATTTATTTAAAAAAAAATTAATTCGAAAGTCATATAAATAAAACTCGTAGTGAAACTTGAAGCTAAATGGTTGTATTTAACATCAAAGTAAAAATGAAATAGTCAAAATGAATTTTAACAAAATTAAAAATTTTTTTCTGTTGAATTGAAAAATGATAAAAACCTAGGTCGGTTATACTAAAACTATTTTCACATATTTTTCTTTCTAATATAAAATTTTTTTTTTCAGGTTCATCAGTTGCAGGAGTGACATATAGGAGAGACTACAGATGGTAAGTATAAAAAGTGTTGTTAGAAAAACTGAAAAGACAAAACAATTTCGAAAATCAACAAACTCGGAAGGATTTTTCTTTCTAAATTACAGAAAAAGTAAAAGTATACTTTTTTTGTTAAGAATAAGAAAGATATTTTCCAAAAATAACAAATCAAATAGGAATCATTTGTTCGCAATTTCCGTAATAGATAAATATAAAAAATTTTGGTAGAAAAACTGAAGACAAAACATTTTCGAAAAACTAAATTCGAATGCATTTTTTTTCTTTCGAATTTTTAGTGAAATTTCGGTTATTCGTAAACTCTTTATTTAAATATATATTAGAAAATAAAAAACTAGAAACAATTTTTTTTTAAATTCTATTAAACGTTTTCAAAAAAAAATATTTCTACAGAATTGTTAATCAAAAGTATGGAAAAATTCAAACATTAAAATATTTTAACTTAAAACTTATCACAAATTCAATTATTTCTAAAAATTCAGGCTATGCTTTCAATATTCAATTATTATGTAAACTTTTAACTGAAATTAATTTTTAAATCAATTTCTATTAGAAAATTCTACGAGAATTCAATTATTTAAATAAAATTCAAATAAAATAACTTATTAAATAATTGAATGTTTCTTAAATTTGAATTCTTATAAAGTAATAAAAATTTCTTAAAATAATTGTTTTTTTTTCGAAGACTTTTAATAAATTTTTTAAGAATAGTTGCATTTTTTTGTCAAAAATGTTAAGAAAATCGTGTTTTAATTAATTAAATTTCTGTCAAAATTTTATTGTGTATTTATAACAATAAATTAATTGAATTTCTGTGAAGAATTTTATTAAACTTATATTAAAAATAATTGAATTCATCTAAAGTATTTTATTATTAAAAAAATAATTAAATTCCCGCAAAGAATCTTATTATTCATGAGAATAATTGAATTCCTCCAAATTTTTTTGAAGAATTTATATTAAACTTTTTAAAAATAATTGAATTTTTTCAAGAAATTTTTTTAAAATTGCATAAAAAATAATTAAATTTCTTAACTTATAGAATTTTCTTAAAATCATATTCAAAATAATTAAATTTATCTAAATTATTTTATTACTTATAAAAATACTTGAATTGTTGCGAAGAACTTTTTGTAAAAAAAAATTTGTAAATAATTGAATTCCTGTGAAATTTTTATGACTTTTGCAGACGTATTTTTAGGCTATATTTTTGGTAATAAAATTTAGGAAAGGATAGTAGAGACGTATTTCTCGGTAAATAAATATTATTATGAAAATTTGAAATGCCTAATTAAATTTTGATATTAGGCTAAAAATTTTCAAAGTTCGTTAATTTTTTTTATGGTCATAAATAATAAGAAAAAAAGATTTTCTATCTTTATAAGTACCTTTACATTTATTGGTATTTTTGTCCAGAATCGCCTTTGTAGAGGTTATAGTTCCATACCTGAAAGAAGAAATGTGAACAAAAAATGTAAAGGGATAAAAAAGAGGGAATTCTTATTATTTTTTTTTTTTTGAAGAAAGGGTTTTTGTTTTTCTAAGCTGTATAATTCTTTTTAAAATGAAAACGTTTACTTACTGAGAACACATATTAACGAGGTCTTTATCTGTTGTATTTTGGTTGAGGCCACGAATATACAAATTTGTTTTCGACAATTGCTCCACCTGTTGTCCCTGCATTGCATTATTGCTAAGATTAGTACTCATTGTACCACTTTGACTACCTGTGGCGCTACTGGAGCTACTATTTGTATTCGCTGGTGACGAGGCTGTTGGTACTCGTTGTCCACCGTACTAAAATTAAAAAAAAAAAAATTTAAGTGGGGAGTAGGGAGAAAATTAAGGCCCATTCACAAACTACGTAAGACCTTAAGGGGATCCAACTATTTCTTATGGTCCATTAATTTATTTATTTTATGCAATATTTATTTCTTATGGTCATAAGGAGGGGTCACGTACCCCCCCCCCCTCCCTTATGAGGAGGGTTAAGCTATTTTAATAGAAAAAATGTAAAAATTTCCAGAAAAAAGTCTTATGTACTTTGTGAGTGGCCCCTTAATAAATACATAAAAATTCATAAATAGAAAATAATATTTCTATGGAGGGATTGTTTTTTTGAATTACTTGATTATTGACGGTTGCATGTTGGGCGTATGAAGTGGCGCTGTATGGATTTGGAGCTGGTGGTATCTGTTGTGCGCCAACGGGCATCTGCGCCGCTGCTGCAGCCGCATTTGGATACCGAGTATATGGCGGATAACCTGCTGCTGCGGCTGCCACTGCCGCTGCTGCATGTGATGGCGCTGCACCCCATGCGGCGCCACTCGCACGATATTGCACTGGATTACCACCCCTGGGCCCACCACCGGCCCCACCCTTCAAACCATGGCCAACGCCACCGCTACCAGCATTTGGACCCACTCCCACATTACTTTGGCCACCTGCTCCGCCTGCACCACCGCCAGCGCCGCCGCTTCCCGCATTGCCATTATTCGCCCCAGCGTATGTTGGTCGTGGACCATTTGAGCCCTGGAATAACGAGAAAAATAAAGGTTAGTTTCTCCACCTCGAGATTTCATTATAATGTGATTTGGGTAAATTTTGATAAAATTGGGTTTTTATTGGTGGAATTTCCGTTTGGTGAGTGAACAATTCTGGGGGAATATTTAATTTTTACTTAACCTAAAAAATTTCCTATTTTCCCCACCTTGTTAATTAAAATGCCTCTGAAATATACAAATTTTGACGAAATTCGATTTTTATTCGAGGAATTGCTATTTGGCGCGTGAACGATTCAGTCAAGATATTAAATTTTCAACTTAACCTAAAACATTTCCTATTTTCCCCAACTCGTAAATTAAAATGCCTGTGAAATATACAAATTTTGACGAAATTCGATTTTTATTGGTGGAATTTCTTCCTGACGAGTGATGAATTCTGACAAATTATTCAATTTTTGACCCTAACCTTAATAATAAATATTTGACCCATCTCGCATTTTTAATTATTCGCCAAAAAACCAAAACTTGACGTTTTTTTTACTTTTATGTTAGAAATTGCTTCTGCCCAAGTAAACAATTCAGTCGAGATATTAAATGTTCAACCTAACCTACAAATTTTCTCAGTTTTCCCACCTCATAAATTGAAATAGCTACAAAATATACAAGTTTTGACAAAAATGGATTTTTCTTTCCAAAACGGTTTCTTGACGAGTGAACAATTTAGTCAGGATATTAAATTATAGACCTAACCTACAAATTTTCTTATTTCCCCCACCTCGTAAATTGAAATAGCTCCAAATCAGACAAACTTTAACAAAAATGGATTTTTCTTTCCAAAACGGTTTCTTGACGAGTGAACATTTTCAATTAAATTATATTTTGAAGAGCAGTGAATTTTTAAAAAATTAAGAAATAAATAATATAAAGTAAACAAGGGAGGGAAGAAATTTTCCTGGACAATTGTGAAGAGGGATGGACGAGTATAGGGTGAACACACGCCGGCATCATGGCAAGCCATGTGAGAGGTATGAATGCAAGCGTAAGATTACGCACATGCGTGTAAAATAGACGAACTAGAAGAGAGAGAGAGAGAGAGAGGGAGGGAGATGGAGGGCAGATCATTGACCCGCAACGTGGCTCGCGGCCATATTGCGGGTTTCGAAAACGAACGCGGCCGGGACGACCCGAACTCCGTCTACTTTGCCGGTCTACCCTTCAATGCGGTTCTACTACTGAGAAACACTTCTCTTCTCCTTGATTCAACATTTCTTTCAATTCTCATTCCTCTCTTTTTATCCTTCAATTATTTCATTCTACGAGAACAATTTTTTTTAATTAATAATTTGATTTAAGTTAATAACTTAAAAAACGTTATTTATTTATATAAATAATATTTTTGTTTCAATATAAACGGGGCATGCTTCTTAGTACACATAATAACAAACAGTAAATGAATAAAAAATAGTAAATAATAATAAATAGTAAATAATAGTAACTAAAAAAATAACGGTTAATAATAATAAATAGTAAGTAATAGTAACTAAATCAACAATGGCAAATCATAAACAATTTTTTAAACTACTAATTATTAATATAAATAATTTTTTATTAATAATTTATTAATATATATTTTAAAAAAAAATAATTTACTAATATTAATAAAAACAATTTGAAAAAACGAATAATTAACGAGTAATTAACATTATAAAAATAGTTATTTTTATAATTAATGTATTAGAAAAACATTATTTAAAAAATGAATATTATTTATTTAAGTAGTAATCGGGCCTACAAAAAATGAATGCTCTTTCGTACAAATATACTAATAATACTTAATAAAGTTAAAAAAACAATAATAATTATATTAAAAAATATTATTTTAATTAATCTGAAAAAATTAATGATTAAAAAAATAGTTACTTTGATAATTTTATAATAATATAGGAAAAATGTTAGTATTTGTTAAAAGAAAAATTAGTTTGTTGGCAAAATTTGAAAGTTCATTTTTTATTAGTAGCAGCAGCAGAAGATGAAATAAATTTTAACTGTGACGCGATAAGATTTTTTTTCATCGCGCTTCTCGTCGACCACGTGCTCTCGACCTAGAAGAATAATGCACGTCGGGAGACTGTACGCTGCATTGAAACTTGGCCGACGATCAATAAACTGCCTCGAAAGAGCCGATTCTCTTTGCACTGGCACTGCTATGACCTCGTATACTTGACAGTACGTCGCGCACGCACCTCCCTTGAATTTCTCTCTCTCTCACTCTCCTAAGACGATTAATATTTTACAATTTTTTTTTAATTTTTCGCTGAAAATTTTACTAATTTTCAAAAATACTCAAAAGATAAAAATAATATTCCTTATTTGGAATGGATATCAAAAATACTAACAATAATAATAGTAATAAAAATAAATTTCCTTATTTGGAATGGATATCAAAAATACTGCCAACAACAATAATAAGAAAAATAATATTCCTTACTTGGAATGGATATCAAAATAAATAATAATAATTCGTAGGCAAAAATTATTAATATTCCTTATGTAATTATAATATTATTATTTTTTTTTACTATTAATTAAATTTTGCCGAAATTTTAATTATTTTCTTTATTTTTAATTAAATTTTTCTGAAAATTTATTTATTTTCAGTTATATTTTTAAAAAAATTCAAAAATATTTTCAATTAGTGTTTAAAAAATTCCAATTATTTTCTACACTTTCAATTAAAATTTACCTAAAATTAATTTTTTTATTATGTATTTCGGGAAAATCAGTTATTTTTCTATATTTTCTGTTTTATATTCGACCCCAAAAATTCAATTACTTTCAATATTTACAATTATTTTTCAAAAAAATTTAATTATTTCCAATATTTTATATTACATTTTCCCGAAAATTCAATTATTATATAAATATAGAAATATTTTCAAGTACATTTTGCTGAAAATTCAATTACTTTACTAAAAATTTAATTATTATTAATTAAATTTAGAAAATTGAAAATAATTTCAATATTTTTTCAATTAGTTTTCAAAAAATTTTAATTATTTCGAATATTATCAATTATATTTTCCTAAAAATCCAACATATTTTCCAATAAATTCAATGGTAACGAGGGGGGAGGGAGTCTAAAAATAATGAAAAATGGATAACGTAGTTTTATATGCACGTAATTTAATTTTTGTTAAATATTAATTAAATTTAGAAGAAAAATAATTTTCTCAATGTAAAAAGGAAGCAAAAATTGAAAAAATATAATTTTTTTTTAATTTTTTCCCCCAATGAAATTTCTTGTCTTTTTTTCGAGAAATTGAAATTGATTTCAGTTTATTGTTGGAATACGGTTGATTCATACAAAACAGGCACGATGCGTAAAACGAGTATCGTGATACCGACCGGATGCTACTTCCTGCTTACTTACGTCCAATACCGTCGTGACTGTCCATACACTACATACATCTTTTTATCTCTATCTTGTTCGTACAAATCCGCAAATTATTTCCACCTTCGTATACATACTTATCAGTTGACGCCTTGAGAAAGAGAAATTCAATTTATAACAACAAAAAAAAGTCAAGGACATTTTTCTCTTTCGAAAAAGACGCGAGATTCATTGTTATTTCAAGTAGAATTTTTTATTTTTACTAAATTTTAAAAATTCCTTTTAATCAAACAATTATAGAGATTTATTTTTGATTCCATACATTTTATTTCTTTCTTTGTATTAATTTTTTTTATTTATTTAATTTTTTTTTATTTCTTTCCTTATTGTTATATTTTTTATTTCATTTATTTGTTTATTTAGTAATTTAAAAATTTTTTTAAAATAATTTTTTATTTCCTTTATTTATTTTGTATACTTTAATTTTTTATTTATTTTATTTCCTTTATTTATTTTCACTGTATTTAAATGTTATTCACTTTATTTTTCTTCTTCATTTTATTTCTTTTCTTTTTTTTGTTGTTTTAATTTAATTTCTTTTAATTTATTCAAAATCATTTTATTCACCGCATCGCATTATTAATTCTAACCTCAAAAATTTCCCACCTCGAAAAGTTTATTTCCCTTGAATCGTAAGAAAAATAATTTAACAATTCATTATATGGATTTTTGCACTCATTCCAATGACATAAAATAAGTCCAAGAAATTATTTTCCAATTGCGATTAATTTAAAGAAGTTACAGTGAAAAATAATCAAAATGCCACCACCTCGAGTTTTATTTTTGCGATAAAATTGATAAAAATGATAATTTGCAAATTATTTTTGGAAATTCGTATTCCTTAAGGTGGCAAGAATATAAATTGTGGAGAAAAAAATTAAGATTTCCTTTTCCGTTTTCTTTTTTTTTTAGGGGGAGGGGGAATCGGTTTTTTAGATACTGTGCTGCTTTTAATCAAATCGAATAAAAAAACGACTTTAAAATTAATTCTTTTTGGTAATTAAATTAAGAAAAGGAGGTTTTTCTATTTTTTAAATAAAAATAATAAAATAAGTAAAAAAACAAAATTAATTTATAAATAAAGTAAGTGATGAAAAAACTAATAAATAAAATAAATAAACAAATAAAATAAAAAAAATAATAAATAAAGTAATAATAAAATAAATAAATTAGTTAAAAATATAAATTTCAAAAAAAGAAATCCAGTTGAAGAATTGAATATTATATAAAAGTGAAAATATATTTTACTATTTTTCATTAAAAATACATTGAAGTAAATTTAAATAAAATAATGAGTAAAAGTGCTGATAATGTTGGTGGGGGTGGGGGAATTATCTATGAATATGAATCTTAGTTGTGACATGAAACACCTTCAGGATTCTCGTCTAGATTTCTATTTGTGTTAATTCATCTATATACAAACTTGGATCGAGACGCCCCACATTTCACCTTTCTTCCGGATATCCTTGATGCAAATTTCATATTTCAAAATCGAATGATTTCTTTTTTTATTTACATTAATAAAAGACATTTTTTTTTAATTCTATTATTGAGCCCCGTTTTAATTTTTTTCTCAA